CAGTAGCAACATCCTCATAGTTAACAGAAGTACTAGAAGTACTACCCTCTTCAAACTAAATATCACGCAAGCCTTGTAAGAGGGATTGCCACTGGTTCTGGTGCTTACGGTGCTATAAGAACTCTAAGAGTTTCTAAGGATAAGCATCAATAGTACGTTTTACAGCTGTCCAAAATCCTATTACAAAAAAGTAAGTCTAAGAAGATAAGAAAGCAAAAATCAATCAAGAGAATAGTATACCTTCAATCATATTGGAGTTGAAAAGCTGATCGCCATCTGTATTCGCTCTGCTGTAATTTACTATGGCAAAACTAACATCATAATTTACTGCTACATGATTATATCCTAGCTGGCACAGCCTCATATAAGGACGGTGGCAGTCTGAAATGATTCTTGTACCAGGCCCGACATATTGTTGGATTAATAGAATCAATGTATCAGCTGTTCTATCTATCTGGAACAATACAAAGAAAGGCCTTTCCTGCTTAACCAGACCGGTTTTCTACTATCCCAAAGACCTAAACACTAGAACTAGATGGCCACGATGGTACTTGCTCTTACTAAACTTGCTCTCATCAATCTGTACCTCGGTTACACCAGGTCCACCTAATAAAAACTTTTAGTTCCTTTTAAATTAAGGAAGAAAAGAAAAATATATAAACTTACCCAAAGTAATATCATCATCTGTAATATCATTATCCATAATCTAGTAAACATCAAAGATAATCTGTACAACTGTATGGCATTCAAGTTCTGTTACCTTTGTCAAAGCCTTTACCGAATTACTAGCAATGGGTATTAATCATTAACAATAAATTAAAAAAGGTTTTAATAATTATATATAAATAATTGTTAAAAAATATATAGGAAAAAATAAAAAATTAGATTATAATTTTTTTATTTTTGAAACATTTAGGATATTTTTTTTGATTTTTTTTTAATTCATATAATATGTTTAGGTTTCGTATAAACATAATTAAACCATTAAAAATATAATATTCTTTTATGTTTAAATTAAGTCTTAAGTAGCAGAATGGTAATGAGCAAGTCCCTCCTTTAGGTAAGGAAACCTTGGACGCAGCCTAACTTGACAGTGAAAGGAATAACTAAAATTAATTAGCAATTTATTGCTAAATTAATTGTTATGGATTGAAACTCTATATAAAAACATCTGCTTTCATACTTATTGGAGCGAGGAAAAAAAGCTGCATCTGATGGTATATTATTTATATGAGAATAACAAGAATTGATTGGATAACAACAAAAACCAGTTTTCCAAAAAAAAATTACATTAAAATTTGGCAAAAGGAGGAACTCGCACCTTTTACCAAAGGCTTAGCATAAGTTTAGTGCGTTAGACCACTTCACCAACGCAAAAATTCTAAAAAGAATAAAAGCATACATGTTCGCTATTGCTGTATCCCTATAAAACGTTTAGCCGCTGGGAAAACCATTTACCATTCTATTTCTTTTTTAGGAAGTCATTTGGTGTACGCCACTTATAAGCCACCAAGCCACCGGGTAAATTCTTGTAGTCACCTGAAGGATGGGAAGGTTGAGTTTGGCAGTCAAGATAATAGACATTGTCTTCCGATTGTAAAGAGTCATTATGCCTTGATCAGTGTGTTCCTTGTTTAGTGAAGTCTCACCTTTGTCAGTGCTGGAATTGGTATCTGCTCTTAGATAGGTACAATGTGCTCAACTCAGATAAACTAGATTGAAACGAAGCTGACTCGATTGTGATCCATGTTTGAGAGATTATCGATATTAGATTGAAACAAAGTACTGACAATAGTTGGTCCTGAGTTATTCTCGATTGTGATCTATGTTTGAGAGATTATCAATATCGTATATGGACTTCATGCTGTGGTCAATATAAGCTGCGGTCATTATAGGCTGCGGTCAATATAAGCTGCAGCCAAGATACACTATGCATGAATTGCTGACTGTTTTTAACGATTTCTATACAGATATCATGCAAATAACATTACTTATTTAACGTCAATTGGGTGTCCTAAAATATAAAATTACTCTTTATTCACAGTTCGAAAATCAACCTTATGAATTTCCGACATTGCCGACATCAGAAATCATTTACGACCCATTTCCGACACTGTTGGAAAAAGGGGCCATCGGAAATGCCAATACTGGTTCCTAATATGCTATAACAATATCACGTTCTACAATTTTTTATTGGCTATATCGTCACGCACAGCTTCCTTAAAAAGAATCGGAGTTTTTATATCAGTGCAGTACCCTCTCAGGATTTGAAAAATCTAATTTGTATTTTAATTGGCCAGTAAGTCACTGAGAAATTGTAATTTCAATTATATATACTTATATTGAGAATTAGCCATATATTTTTGCGCAGCTCTATTTTGTCTTTCTCCCTGCTCTTTTTTCACTATCCTAATCCTCTTCCCTTACCTTGATGCATATACACTCTTTTTCGAAATCAAAGTCGTGTTTGGCCAGAAATTAATTTGGATGATGACAAATTGAAAGTCGTTTCACAGTGGAAAAAGTTGTCGCACAAAAAAGCTTGGCAAAGCCATCACTTTAAAAGCACAACGCCTCGTTGAGGTCAAACCTCTTTTCTCTTTCACCATACTACAAATTATGAACGGTCAATTTTTTTATGAAGATGGACAGGGCCATGTTGTTGATGAGCATGGCTGCTCTGAGCCCATAGATTATGTTGTTGATGAAGAAATGTACACCCTTCAAACAATCAGTTCTCACACTGATTATTTGCACACTCTTCATCGTGTGCACAACCATGAGCCTGTTGTTGTGCATGTGGACGAAGTACAGAGTAAGGACGTTCATATGAAAGAATCAGTTACAAAATGAGATTACACAGTCTATATAGATCAGGACAAAGTAAGATTCTTCAAACTGATGTTCGAGAAGGTTTTGAGTGCGTCAGCTGCTGCAAAGCAGTTGGGAATTCATGTTCGCTCGGCGCAAAGGTGGGCGCTGCAGTATGAAAAAGATCCTAACGGCATATTTAAAAAGGGTAAAAGCTCTGGTCGTCCTCGCATTCTCAACGATGAGCATAAGAGAATTATTTTAGAATGGGTTGATGAGGATCCGTCAATAGTTCTTGAGCAATTGATGGAAAAATTACGTCAAAGATTTGAAGGAATCTAAGTATCCAAGACAACACTTTATCGGTTTATGAAGAATGAATGCAACTTATCTTTGAAAAAAGCCAAGTTTCAACCCGTTGATAGGAACAGTGAACCGAAGATCCAAGAGCAGTTTGACTAGATACGTAAATGGGATGAGACAGACATGGATTTTAGAAAAAATTGTGTTTTTCTTAATGAGTCTGCCTTCCATATTAACATAAAGCGTAGTATGGCGTGGTCAAACAAAGGATCTACTACTGTGGTAACTGTCCCAAAAACAAGAGCAAAAACGACTACTATCCTGGGTGCAATCTCTGCATCTGGTCTGATTAAATGCAGCTTAAGACTTCTACAGGTTTCGACTAGAAAACGAAAGCGAACAAATGCTTATGAAATTATTAGCAGAGGAACTGTCACTAGTCATTATCTTAGTTTTCTCAAGGCTACAATAGATGAGATGGATAAGTATCAGTACATGAAAGGTCAGTATTTAGTCATAGATAATGCTCCTATTCATAAAGCCGAAAATATTTCTCGGTATATTGAGTCTAAAGGAAATCGATGTGCTTATCTTCCATCATACTCGCCTGAACTCAATCCTATTGAACAGTTTTGGTCCGTTCTCAAGAGTAAAGTTAAACGCAACAGGTTCTTGGAAAGCGAGACGTTGATGACACGAATCAGTGAGGCATCAAAGTGTTTAGAATTGAGTGATTTTGAAGGATTTGTTTCTCATTCTTATAAATGTTTAGATAGCTGTCGCAACGGAGAGCCATTATGATATGACGTTCAGTTTCCTTAAACGATTTATAATAACAAGCAAAAACACAAAAAAAAAGTCGAGTATCGCAGGTGTGCAAAGAACGTTGAGGCAATCGAGCAGGAACTGAAGACGAGAGGTGTCGTCGAACATCAACGCTGGGATCAACATTATAGTATGGTGATGTCGTTAATACGTGACTCGAGTACTATTGAGTGGACAAAGATTTCAATGCAACACTCATTTTCAATGTTTAATGAGAAAATTTAAAAAGAAAAAGGAAAGAAGAAATAAGCTTTAAAAAAAACAGGGGTAGGTATGAATGTTTGTGTATGATTCAATCATTGCTCAATTCGTAATGATGGGGTGCGTTGGGAATCTTGTTGCGTTCTGAAATTTTTCTGCCAATTCAGTATAGTTTGGCAATATCGATAGGCAATCGTGGCTGGCTTGTCAGAGACAACACACTTATGCCAAAAAACCTTGTTTATGGCCAAGAGGAGACGAATGTTGCGTAAGTTGGAAAATGCAGGAATGCCTTCCAAGGAACGAGGGAATGTAATACGAGCGATTTCAAACGAAGCATAAATGCCCCTAGTAGTCAACTGTTGTAGGTAAAATGTAATGGTGAAATCTAGCGAAATAAAAAGCAAGTGGTAAGACATCCAATAAAAAGGGAGTAAATGGTGTCAAATTTACTGTTAATCTGAAAAGCAAGGGTGGAGTCCAGTAAGGAAACATCAATGGAGTTTTTGTAAAACACTGCCAGTCTTAAGAAGTCGACTGAAATGTCGTGCGTTGAGGTACCTTCTGGTTTTGCCTCCCCATGCCCTCTGGAGCCCACAAAGGATCCTTGCTACTTATGGTAAATGGCAGCATCGGGGCGAGCACTTCCGCGTTCAGTTGGCGCCGAGTTGCTCCATTGCAAGTGCATATTTCGATCAGGGTCAGACAGCAGTGTCGAGAGGATAGGATCAAAATAGGTACTCCACAAGGTGGTTTCACTTATGTTTTTAACATTCACCGGTGTCGATGGTAATTTTTGTATGCTACAGGTGAAATAAATGTATATCATTTGTTACGATTTCAACATATTTCTTGGTCACTTACAGGTTCGCAATGCCTCGTAAAAGACGGCGTGGTCTATAATCCAAACCAGTACCTTCTACAATGAGTCTTACAATGGTATCGTCACAGGTCGCACTGCCCATGGCCAGATTGGCAAACATTGAGGCAAAAGTTATGTAGACCTGATCCGGCAGATCCATCGAGTAATCCATAGAAGATGCACGCAAAGAGGCAGTTAAGTCGTTAAGCAGACGATCGCCAAACACCTTGGTTGCAATGTCACTATGTTGGCTGGCATTCAGGATAAACACGTTGAAAAGGGATGCGATCTCATTGCAATAATCCTCTGGAGGGAGGGGACTGTGCTTCAGAACTAAGGATCGTACAGCAACCTGATATTGGCAAAACAGCATGCTAATATTGACCCTATTGAAGAGCCATTCATCATTATTACTTGTGGATGTTGATATGACAGGTGTTGTTTCAGCATCTTCGTGGACAGTGGCATCATCGGTAACAGCATCATCGTCGGCCACAGCATCATCTTCGGCTACAGCATCGTCTTCGGTTACAGCATCGTCTTCGGTTACAGCATCGTCTTCGGTTACAGCATCATCTTCGGTTACAGAATCATCTTCGGTCACAGCATCATCTTCGACCATAGCACCTTGATTGGTGGGATTGTTCATGACAAGCTGCCTCACTAAATCAGTACGTCGTGTGGCTACCTTGTCAATGACTTCGTCTATTCCAAGAACGATCTTGTTCATGTTGTTTTTTGGCATACGTTTTGACCAGAAGATCAGATAATCAGCTGAGTTAGTCCAGGTCTTGGAATTCGTCATTATGATCTTGGAAGTACCAGAATTGAAATACTTGGAGTTGGTGGTGATGTTTGTGAAGCGCTGTTCTACCAACCGTCTATCCAATGGCTCAAACTTTTCAACAAACACCTTGAAAGACAATGACGTTCCAGAAGAAATGCACCAATCTACATCTTTTGGTAAGTCGATCTTAGTTTTCTTACTGGAGCATTCAGCTTATGCTTGTCCTCTCTTTTCACCCGACACCATCGTAAAGAGGTAACTTCACGCCACGGAAAAAAAAGAAGTATAAAATATAAAAGTAGGTTCAAAGATAAAAAAAAAAAAGAGGATCAATTTTGACTGTCATTTTCAATAAAGTCTGGGATTGGACCCATAAAAATAGGAGAGTTTTGTTCTTCCATTTCTTTATTTGTGGGTACTTCATTACCTTAATATTTACAAAAATATAATTGTTTTTAATAAAAATAAATATTTTTTTGTATCTAAATTAAATGTTTTCTTTTTTATCATTTAATATCAGAAAAATCAATGTATTGTTGTGTTATTTGTATCATAAAAAAAATGAGATACTGTACCCATATTGATTATAAAAATAAAAGTTTATTAAACTTTAATTATAAAAATATTATCACTCCTCTTCTTCTTCTCTCTTCTAGTCTTTGTCAAAGACAAACCCTGGGAATGGAGTGTGCAACGAAGTGAACTAAAAAATACCTACTGGTATTTTTTCTAAATAAATTAATAATAGAAATATGTATTTTATTTAATGTAAAAATAATTAAATTTATTTAGAAAAATACTAGTAGGTATTTTTCAATACAATTAATATTAAAGAAAGATGAGCTTCGCTCATAGAAAAAACTTCGTTTTTTTGTTTCGCCATAGGCGAGACTAGAAGGGAGGGAGGAGAGAGAGAAATTTATAAGATATTAGAAAATAAAAGGGTTGATGGATTTCCTAAATAATTTTTTTTAACTTTTTTAACTTTTTATTGATTCTTTTTGATTCTTTTCTTATTTTTTATAATTTTTATAATTTTTTTCTTCGGAACATGTTTTTTTGAATGAGTACAGCAACGATAATCAGGTTCATTATATAGAAGATTGGTTCTAATTTTTTGACAACATATATAACCTGCTTTCTTTCCTCTATTATGTATATATGTGCATATATTAGGTGATGTGTTTTCATCCCAAAAGTTTTTTTAATTTATCTCTATTATCTTTTCTTTTATTATTTCCTTCATTATTTTTTCTTTTTTTTTCTTTTGTATCACCTAAAATTTCATCTTCAAAATATTTTTCAGCAACCTGTTTCATAATATTTTTAATGGATTTTTCCATAGAGTTTTTGCATATAAGGATTTCTATATTGAGAATAGACATATTGAATTAAATAATAATTTATTTTCTTTAATTAAAAAAATTCAATTTTATAAAAAAAAGTAATTGAGTTTGAAATTTATTTACTAGCAAATACTTATGGTGATAACTCTGCAACATTATTACATTTAAATTATTTATATATTCTGAATTCATTATTGATAGGTTTATTTTTTATTTAAGATAAAATTTAATTTGTAACCATTTTAAATTTTTATTACCAACAAAAAATTTGTTACCAATAGTTTTTATATGAAAACAGTTGGTAATGCATATACACCTTTCGCTTGCAAGTGGTGTCCTTTTCCAGGTAAGTAAACACATACACACTGGCTTTTGGACGTTGGATTTCGCGGAGCACTGAGTCTAGTAATCTGAGAAGGCCATTCCTCTGGGGTGGACTGGAGATGAACGAACACTGTTACCGGCATCTGCATCGTTTAAAAACGGACACATGTTTAGGTTCTGTGATAAGGAGCACTGAGTCTAGTAATCTGAGAAGGCCATTCCTCTGGGGTGGACTAGAGATGAACGAACACTGTTACCGACATCTGCATCGTTTATATACGGACACATGTTTGGGTTCCTTTGCCTTGTCGTCTAAAAGCAGAATTAGCAGAGAAATTACTAACCACTTGTTTTATTTCCGTGCATCACGACTTCTACAATGCCAATGTCTTGATCACAAACGTTCCATGTTGCTCCTACCCTATAAAATGTGCGAGGACTACCATTCCATTGGTGATTGCATTTGCACAAACTGCCCATGGATGTTTTGACCAAAGGGTTGTTTGTGACGGGCGGCTTCCTCGCTGTGGGAGAACCACGATGGTCTCCACTTTTTAATGACATTAAATAAATACTACTTACTCGATATCGTATGCCTCTATCTCCAATTGCTCTTCTGAAGTTGCTAAAATAATGGGATATTTGATATGTTTGCAATCATAGACTCTGTATGCTATGACAAATATGCAGCTTTTCGAATCTTGAGGGTCATGGTGATCCTATATCCTTCCTCTTATCTCTCTAACGGCGTGCTGTCACCCTCTTCTCATCCTCTACTCTGTAATATTTACCCATATGCACTTTGAAATCATTATTCCCTACCTCCCCCAAAATGACAATTTGTTTCAATAAACCCAATATGCCATAACAGTTGTAATTGCACTAAGAATAGTAGTGCGACCAATACAACGCATACTTCAGGGCGCGCTCTTCACCACACTCTTATTTTGGAACAGGCTCACTGGTGGAACACTCAAATCTGAAGCTGATGACGCTTTTTTTTTTGGCTCAACTCTGGATGGCGCCCTCAAGTCACGTATAAACGACATTACTATACCATAATGTTGATCCCAGCGTTGATGTTCGACGACACCTCTCATCTTTAGTTCCTGCTCGATTGCCTCAACGTTCTTTGCACACCTGCGATACTTGACTTTTTTTTTTGTGTTTTTGCTTGTTATTATAAATCGTTTAAGGAAACTGAACGTCATATCATAATGGCTCTCCGTTGCGACAGCTATCTAAACATTTATAAGAATGAGAAACAAATCCTTCAAAATCACTCAATTCTAAACACTTTGATGCCTCACTGATTCGTGTCATCAACGTCTCGCTTTCCAAGAACCTGTTGCGTTTAACTTTACTCTTGCGAACGGACCAAAACTATTCAATAGGATTGAGTTCAGGTGAGTATGATGGAAGATAAGCACATCGATATCCTCTAGACTCAATATACCGAGAAATATCTTCGGCTTTATGAATAGGAGCATTATCCATGACCAAATAATGACCTTTCATGTGCTGATACTTATCCATCTCATCTATTGTAGCCTTGAGAAAACTAAGATAATGACTAGTGACAGTTCCTCTGCTAATAATTTCAGAAGCATTTGTTCGCTTTCGTTTTCTAGTCGAAACCTATAGAAGTCTTAAGCTGCATTTAATCAGACCAGATGCAGAGATTGCACCTAGGATAGTAGTCGTTTTTGCTCTTGTTTTTGGGACAGTTACCACAGCAGTAGATCCTTTTTTTGACCACGCCATACTACGCTTCATGTTAATATGGAAGGCAGACTCATTAAGAAAAACACAATTTTTTCTAAAATCCATGTCTGTCTCATCCCATTTGCGTATCCAGTCAAACCGCTCTTGGATCTTCGGCTCACTGTTCCTATCAATGGGTTGAAACTTGACTTTTTTCAAAGATAAGTTGCATTCATTCTTCATAAACCGATAAAGTGTTGTCTTGGACACTTGGATTCCTTCAAATCTTTGACGTAATTTTTCCATCAATTGCTCAAGAACTATTGACGGATCCTCATCAACCCATTCTAAAATAATTCTCTTATGCTCATCGTTGAGAATGCGAGGACGACCAGAGCTTTTACCCTTTTTAACTATGCCGTTAGGATCTTTTTCATACTGCAGCGCCCACCTTTGCGCCGAGCGAACATGAATTCCCAACTGCTTTGCAGCAGCTGACGCACTCAAAACCTTCTCGAACATCAGTTTGAAGAATCTTACTTTGTCCTGATCTATATAGACTGTGTAATCTCGTTTTGTAACTGATTCTTTCATATGAACGTCCTTACTCTGTACTTCGTCCACATGCACAACAACAGGCTCATGGTTGTGCACACGATGAAGAGTGTGCAAATAATCAGTGTGAGAACTGATTGTTTGAAGGGTGTACATTTCTTCATCAACAACATAATCCATGGGCTCAGGGCAGCCATGCTCATCAACAACATGGCCCTGTCCATCTTCATAAAAAAATTGACCGTTCATAATTTGTAGTATAGTGAAAGAGAAAAGAGGTTTGACCTCAACGAGGCGTTGTGCTTTTATAGTGATGGCTTTGCCCAGCTTTTTTGTGCGACAACTTTTTCCACTGTGAAACGACTTTCAATTTGTCATCATCTAAATTGATTTCTGGCCAAACACGACTTCTATTTTTGTCAACCTCTGACTTCCTTTTCCGTGGCACACGACTTTGATTTCGAAAAAGAGTGTACTACAATCAGTTTGGTACTAATAACCTTTAAATTTATGTAAGAATAAAGAACTTGTATAGCTGACATGCTTTTGATTTTTTTCTCCAAGTCCTTTACCCAGTGATGGTCCCTTACTGACTTTTAAAAAAATTGAAAATTGGGGGTAGGGAGGTGCCAACCCAATTCTCATTTTTGGGTGGAATAAGGATATTGATCTTCTGCCTCTCAGTTCTTCGGTTCTATGTATATAGAACCAATTTGGTTCTAGTTTGGTTCTTGGTAG